CTCTCTCTCTCTCTCTCTCTCTCTCTCTCTCTCTCTCTCTCTCTCTCTCTACTATTCGTTTATTTCATATCTTTACCATCGAATATATCGTTACCACGGCGATACGTGACATAATGGTGCATCTATCATGTGTCTTCTATACACTGAAACCGATGAACCTTCATCTGAAAATGGAAACCTTAATCATATAGGAAATAAGCAATGTTTCGACAATCAAGGGTTATCGCGAATGTGAACAATTCGTCAAATCGTCGATCAAGTTTCCAAAATATTTCGGTTAATTATAATTCTTAATTATAATTCTTTATATAAAATATGAGGATCTTAAATCCTTTGCGTTTACCTGCAAATTGAGAGGAATAGTACGTTGTATGTGATTGATACTTTTCTTACGATTGTTTATGGCTGCTTTATGATTATCACGTTATTCATTCCATATCATAAAGACGGACTCGCGAGACATATTGTAAGATAGAATAGACAATATAATACGAAAATGCGATAGTTAGTAAATTGTGCGTCCACGTCAATATTTCAATGTTTCATTTAACACGCGTGAAATGAATAAAAAGATTTTATTATAAACGTAAACGTACGCTTAAAATGATTTGCGAAGTGTTTCGATTCAATAATTACTAATTAACAATAGCACGTTATTGCACGCGCCATTTCTTTCCGCGCATCTTTCTATCTCTCTCGTCGCGCTATAATGTAAACTTCTCTGTATCCTCTGTACTCCCGTCACAAATCCGCCGTTCCATTACAATCCGCCATTGCCTCTCAGTTGAGGAAGTTGATTTTTTTCATATCTGTGACATCGAAATGAGTTATAAGATATACATTTTGTATCTTATACGTAACACGTTATCTTATTTTTCAAAAATCCTGATATAGAACCGCATGGAGATGATCGCGAGTATCGTTATTAATACTTGTAGAAACGCTAGGATGCTTTGCGTGAATGAGCACGCATTATCACGACACATGACTCCAAGTTCGTTCTCCTTCAATACCGATAACGATTAACCAAGATCCACTTTCTCAGTCAAATGTTGGAACGAATGTTATTTCGTCGACGTTGATCGATCGAAACTCTCTCGAAACGCAAGCGCCATATTTTTTAGTGCCATGCTTCTATCGTGGCACGTGCCTCAACGACAAGTCAGTTAAAAATTGCTCGTTAATCGACGGCAATACAAATCTATGCATTACACATCTTTGATACATCTACCATTTAACATATAATGTGTATCTTTGCGAGTATACGACATTTCGATCGAATTACAATAATTTTGCAACTATGACAAGTAACTAAATGATTTGTAGTAAATGAAATGTACGTACGCTTTGCGGATGATATGTCAAGAAATCGTAATTGCGAAATCTCGTTATAGCACTAACGAAAAACGGTATAAATGTTAATACGAAAAAAACGCCTTGTTGGCGTTGAATTTGGACCAACGTACCCCAATTTACTCGTTCACGGGCACGAAGCCAGAATTGCGCAAAAGTTTGTCGGCCAGAGGCACCTATTTCTTCGTCTCTATATTCTACGATTGAGCGATAGAATCGGCAAATGTGTAAACATTTTTTCTTGGAGATTTAAAAAATTTTTCAAATTGAGAAATACGCGGTTTAATCAGACGCTCGCAATGGTCTCACGCCAATGCGTTCAATAAATCATACCGCGCGGCACATTGTATAATACGTAATCAGACATCAGTTTTATCAAATTCCCCTTTTTCTTTCCGCCTTTTGATCCAATGCAAATACGATTACTCTGTCTTCTCATTCCCTGAAAAATACGCTTTACTTTAGAATTCCTCTTGCGTTTTCGAATCATCGTTATTTTTCAAATGTGTATACAATTTATTTCTTAGATCTATTTAATCGACATATTATTTACATGTAGATTAATGTTTAATGTTTAATGAAACGTGATTATTTTATCTCTATATTTGGTGATATTTTACGTTATCAGAATGTATCGTATCTCTTGTACGCGCGCGCGCGCGCGCGTGTGTGTGTGTGTGTGTGTGCGCGCGTGCGTGTGTGTGTGTGCGCGTGCGTACGTGCGCGCACGTGTGTCTGTCAAAAACGTGTGCAACATAATTTATTTTTAGCACTTTTGATCACTTTTCGCATCTGCCGTAAATTTTTATATTTCGAGTATTTTCATGCAGCATACGGTATTCACATTCGCGTGGTAAGGTTCCACGCAAAAACTTAAATGGCCGTCTTCCTCTGAGTTAAGTAATCCGACAAGATCTAGGTCAACGTTAAATCTGCGATTAAATTTGACAAACGCAAAAGAGAATGAAGAAACTGAGTGCCAGAGTGCACAAGTTGTAATGTATTTAATTGACTTCTTAACGTTAAATTGGCCTGCAATATGTATGTAAATTTGTCAAGAAGCATAAAGCGTAACGTGGTAGAGACAAAAGTTAAAAAATAATTTTGAAGTTGATGGTGTAAACTTAATTCTATAATCAATTTAATTTTATAAAACTTTTTCGACACATACATATTTCCCTTGATGTATGATATATGCAATTTTACAATGAGATGAGTATTTGACGAACTCGTGATTTCTTTTAATGAAGAAGAAACTTTAAATGAAACTTTAGAGAAATATTTTTTTTTATAAATGTAAATTAGAAATACAATCGAAACTATCGTAGAGATTGAGATTTTTCAACAATCTGATTAAAAGACGGAACAAGTTTAATTAGCGTTGGGTATACCTCACTTGACATTGAAGAAGCAAGCAGTTGAGCAGCGAAAGATAAATCGAAGATCTCTGTGCGCATCGCGCAAAGATTGAATCTTTTTATTTTACGTGTTGTGATGCGATGCGGCACAGCGCGACAAGAGATCATGTACATCGTGTTGCATCGCGTCGCGTCGCATCGCGTCACGTCACGTAGCGTCAAGGGTCGACACTGACCCTTTAACGACCGAACGTACGACTGAAATTTTTGCTTATACCTATGACGAAATAACTTTGAAAACGCACTTCAACTGCCGTGAGGAAACTGAAAAGAAAAGAAGAAGAAGAAGGAAAGATAGTGGATCGCACGATACACGCGTGATCACCGTGGTCACCGTTAAATCCTTAAATTGATAGCAACTCATACACAATGAGCTTCATTTATAATCGCTGACTCTAACTCGAGCTACTTCGGCTGGTTACGAAATGTCAGAAGCGAGTCACACTCCGTCGAGTGTCTTTGCCAAACATCGAACTTGGAACATCTAATAATGCTCGAGAATGTTGCTTTAGCGAGTAAATATAGCCAAGCGAGGCATTTTTTTCTTCGCAATTGCGCGCGTCACTTTGATCGTGTTATTACCGCGTGTTTAATTAACGACGGGATATATTGTCCGATTCGATTTAAACGATAAGAAAATAGAATGTAACGAGCTGATATCACTTGGCAATAATTTGCGTTTTCAGGAAACCTACTCGCGCCTCTGAGACGCGATACTTTTTATGGATTCAAACGTGATGGAAATGTATAGACTACCGTTTCAGAATTACTGTAATCTTGGTACACGAAATTTAATTACGTGTTTAACATTGTCCCTCTCACTCGATACATTTACATTTTTTTTTCCCTATTCTCTTAGTTAGTTCTCCCCTATTTAGTTATCCACCCGTCTTACCTATCATCTTTGGATGCGATGGATGCAATGAATGTGAACGAATCGTTGAGATGGCTGACTTTTTTGTCGTAGAATACAACGCGAGAACCGAAGCAGTACGTTTCGCCGCATGGGTGCCTGGGTTGACGAACGTTTCGCGGAGGAGGAGGTGGTCCCAAGTAATCAAAGTGCTACTTGGACTTGGAGAATCCGGGGCCGCGATTGCAATGGTGGTGGACCCATGCATGGTCGACCGGGTGCCGACTATCAATCGCCAGACAACTTTACATCAACCTGGTCGCCAGCATCCCTATTACCGTTGCGCCGTCAGTTCACTAGACAGCTC